TCTGGATTATTCTTTGCCGTATTTGGTCAAAGCCCTTCTTTTTCTTCACCTATAAAGTTCTATTTTTTACTTATTGATGTTATCTCTAAGAACTTTCGCCAGGGGATCCCTTCCNCAGACTGTTTATTCATCGAATAGAGGAGTTTGAGTTGAAAGGCCTGCAAACTCATGGCGAAGCAGTAGGTGATCTTTTGCTCGAGGCCTGAAGAAGCCGTTATCGTGGACTATACTTTTCAGAGGGGGTTTTTTAGTAACCCTAGTGTGGAGAGATTGAATCTGAAGCTCCTATTTTATTGCTGGCTTTTGTAAACGGGTTTTTCACTCAGCGCCGTATCGTAGCGGAAGCACTTCCATCCCCTTGGCTGCTTTCATAGTCCACGAATCTGCCTGCAAGCGAGCGAGCGACCGAGGGACTACTCGTCCTGCGGTATCTACCAAGATTCAGTTGTAAACAAAGGGCAAGCGCCGCCCCCGGTCGCTCGCTCCCTCGCGGGCCAAATCGCGGACTATGAAAGCAGCCATTGCATTCTGTCGAAATCTGGAAAATCAGTGAGGGCGACTAGGGTCGAGTGTTTCTGTGGACCTCTTTCACTTAGTATTTACATAATGTCGCTATCGGTGATTGTGTTTTGCTTGCTAATCATTTACATGAGTGATAAGTTGGATAACTGAACACCCGCGATTGGAATATTTTCCAAGGCCTGAACTCCAACTTTTTTTTCTTCTGGTTCCACAATCGCAAAATAAAGAAAACTTCTTTGCAATAGGGTCAGAGCTGCTCCGTTTTGCTCATGGTAATGCCTCATGGGAGAGTTAAGTTGTGCACTCACTGTCAACACGCTGCTCGGCTCTCAAACATAGTCTGTCGAAAAAAAACTGTCAGTTCTCTTAAGAGCACACACAACTATGAAGGACATTGAAGGCAGACACCATAAAAAGTGAATTAGACATTTGTTATCAATGAATTATGAGAAGACAGTCTGCACCCTTAACATCCTAGAAATCTCAGAACAATAAGGTAGAAATTTTTTAAAAATTCATAATCTATCCGATGGCTCTATGCTATTTCTTCTGGTGGCGTAACGTCGGATTTCCGAACCATAGTAGTTCGTGGACTCAACGATATGCTCACAGTCCCCTGAGGTGTTGTCAAAATCGCGACTGTCCTCTGCTCCAGATTCGAAGAGAGTAACTGCAAAGTCAAAAGTTTGTTATAGAAATAGCTGGTCATAGAAGCACCTGCTTCCCAAGTCTTATCGGATATCCAATACCGGTGCACCAGTTCTTATTAAGATATAGGTCTCAACTATGTGCATACTCGCCTTTTCTTTCATGAAGTACTAGCTGTAGTGGATGCCTGAGTTGCATCTTGCCTCGCTTTCAGAGTTATAGTCTTTCAGATCAGGGAATAGACTTTAGTGAAACATCCGAAACTTGTTATTAGGCGATGTGGATTAGTCTTCCCACATCATTTGCTTTAACTTATAGTTGGTTCGTCTAGTGTGGTAAGTAGAGCGTAGGGATGAATAGCAGAATGGAATACAATGCAACTCGCTGTTGGTTTCGTACACTCCATAAGGAAGCACTGTGAAGTACCCCAAAACACTTATTTTCTGTATATGCGTGCACCTCGGTGAGGCTGTGGTTCTGTGCGTTTGGCTATGGTATCGATGTTCTGTCTGGGCCCTGGGTCAGTATCGACGGATAGCTCCTACCCAGCGCAATCATGTTCAGAAGACCTTTGGATTCGGTTCAGTCCCTCTGGCTTGTGGTTGAGCACGGCCGAAAATGAAGTGAATTTTTTTATTACAAGATATGGCTCTTCTTATTACGTCTACAGTTGGAGGTACGTTTTTTGCTGGTTTCCAAAGGGTTCTGTGTCGGACTGTTACCGGATTGTTGACTTTTTGTTACCTCATCGTTCTGATTCGGTTCCGTCAGATCATCGTCGCTGTCACCGCTGACACCAATAAGAACCTCGTGTGAAATCCGCCGTCGAAGGGCTTCTGAAATTTCGATCTCGTGATTTAACTTGGTTCAAAAAAAAACTCACTAAGCCTAAGTTCATTTAGTTACTCACGTAAATACTTCGTATAAAAGTCATCGGCTAGAGAGGCGACTTTTTGTAGCTCGAACAGATGAGTCCTGATCACGAGTACGGCGTCTCTCATGAATTTGTCGAGCTTTTCATTACCAGTATTCGTTGAAACTCCTTTGGCTTCCAATTTTTCGAACAACTGAAAGAAAAGTTCATGTTGAGCCCAATAGAAATCCAAATTCCCCTATTCTGACGCAAAACTCCCTCAAAATAACACTCTCTGTAACCCGATACCTAGTATTGGAATAAACCAGTCAAAAATCTGTGTCGTACTTTTCAAAGGGCAAGCAAAACGGGTACGGCCATCTCAATGACGTGAAATTTCACGCCGTTCTTGCTATTCTGTTTGCTTGAGCATGTCCTCGAAGCGTTTCGAATCGTGCTTGCCAAGGATCCAACAGCCGGTTGTCAAGAAATGGCATAACCAAACACTGGCGAAGCTCAGCTTGCTTACCCTTTGGTTACTGGAGCGTTTGGGAAGTTCGAAGTATCCCAGCAGGAGAACAATTTTAAGAAGCTCTTGTGGGAGAATTCACGACCCTTCAGCGCTGGTTGGGCTGTCCGGGGCCTAGCGATGCTCCGTAGGTTGGTAGTACCCGGACAAGTACGAAAACTCTAATCTGGGCTTTTCCAGGAAGTCAGCCGCCACTGGTTTAAGCCGAGCAGTTCCATTCTTATTAATGTCTTTACTCCAATTAATTTTCATACACCAGAATGTCTCTTACGTGGAATAACAGAGCAAAAAAATTCAATAGTTAAGGTAACTTTTGTGGGATTTTGAAGTAATTTCTGCAAACTCTGAGCTATTAGTCAAGGGGTAACTCCTCCAAATGAGTCATTAGCGTGTGCAGAAGGAGCGAACCTATCGATGAAACACTGTCATGTGTTTGCTTTTCATTTTCCCCTATGAAGTGCCCGTACCGAACTTCCACTTGACTTCCGTGATGCTTGTAACTTTTCTTGTTGCTTGAGTGTTCGACACAAGAGTACATTCCTTTTTGTATGAGGAAAGGTAATGAACAAGTTATACCTGAACCAAATCTAAGTTACTGACAAATAACCGCTCGTCTGCGACCTCATTGGGCGAAAGGCATCCCAAAAACGAATGCTGATGGCATGAGGTTGCTCCACCAAAAACCTTTGTGGCCAGATGACACAAGGGGTGGTAACCCTCCTTGACGTCTGTTCCTAACAGAAAGAAATGACGCTTATATGGGAAAAAAGGTGTTTGAACGCATATAGGCTGTCAGAACGCTCTCTCACTGGTTCTTTCTACTTCTTACGGCCTAGTTGTGGTTAATAAATTACTATTTAAACAGCAAAATAGGTCAGATCATCTGCCACTTTATCAAGAAGCCATCTAGGGGTTTTCACTGGAAGTTAGCCTTGTGGTATTCCTCCTTGCAATGAAGGCTAACCCTACCGAGGTAAAAGACTGACTTTAACACAGGAAAATGACTGTTACTGAACGACAACTGGTTAAGTGCCTACTTCATGTTATCAAGTATGCAAACGTCAAAGTGTTGAAGTTGTTTCAACTCAGTCTGTCTGTAATAAAGGCATCGTAGAACGATTCTATTGCAAAACACAGACGATATCCTAAAGAGAGACATTGTGGGAATCTGTTCTATCTCGATGCAGCTTGAGGACATGGTGTTAACCACTATCATGAGCTCCTCAGCAAAGGGAGAAGCAGGATGAGGAAGGTTGCGTCAAGGGATTCAATTCAATCTCAACTAGATTGAGGAAATTTTGTTCAGCATCTGTTGAAAGTTTGAACGTACACTTGGGAACCTCATTATCGTCAAAAGGGAGCCCCTAGCACATCCTGCTCACCCATCCCACTCCCGAAAAGGCCACAAAGAGTTCAGCTTGCGGCTGCGGCTGGAAGAACATTCGTTGCGAGAGAGTAAATGCCTACAATTTCATGATTTGATGATCAGCTCTCCGAAGAAGCTGCTTAAATTCTTGAAGATTTTCTGTTCCACCTTGCAATCCCTTGTCGGCTTCCTCCATTTGATTGTTGAACTATTTGGCCAGTGGCTCTCGGCCTGCTTCAGTATTCTTGGCCCTTCTCTGTTGATGACGCAGATATTTTTGTCACTAGTCGAGCTAGTAGGAAGACAGGGTGCTCAGCCAAGTTCGGTCAACTTCATTCATTCAGAAGAGATCTCGTTTCTCCCGCAATTTTACTACCTACTCGCTGCCTTCTGCTATGCAGGACTGAGGCCAACGAAAGTGCAGATAATCGAAATTTGCCTAAGTTTGGGGATCATCAAAGACGAAAACCAGAAAGTAAGCCAACAGAACAGTACTCAGAAGAAAAAACTCAAGAGTCATGCCGGGTCGGTAGTACGATTCCTGTCGACTGTCGTGCACTTTCCCGAAGAAGTATCTAGTATTTGTGTACAGTCGTGATTTTTTTCAGACACTTCCTTCCATGGTAAGAGGTCCCAAGTGGGTCGTTACGTGTACTGAATCTTTTGTGTATGAATGTATGCAAGGGCGCAAACCGTATGTCGCCCACGGGGTGTTGGTATAGTATTCCGGAAATTCCGGTAGGTGTGGAGGGAGCGCACGAGAGGAGAAAAGGCGCCGCGCCACGCTACCGCTGCGCCTATCAGTTCGCCATGAATCCGACACGATTAGCACTGATTATTGCCCTCTTAGTGAGTTCTTTCTGGATTATTCTTTGCCGTATTTGGTCAAAGCCCTTCATGTTCTTCACCTATCAAGTTCTATTTTTTACTTATTAATGTTATCTCTAAGAACTTTCGCCAGGGGATCCCTTCCCACATCAGCCAGGGAGATTTACCTCCTTACGCTTCTATCGATGTTTTTTCACGAGAGATTGTTCTGAGGCACAATGTAGCTCCTTTTCTAACAGCTGCATTAAAAAGGAAGGCATACTGATCCTCCATAGATATGTACTAGCACATGAGTTCTGAGATTCTGGCTACATATCCGCTTCCAGCCTCTGCTGAGCGGTTCCGTGAACGCTTTGAGGGTTTGTCTTCTACCGTACTTCTACTGAATCTTTTTCTTGATCATTACAATTCCTACTTATTGATGTTATTTGTGGGCGATTTCGTCCAACGATTCATAAAAAACTAAACAATGCTTTCGAGCCTTATTAAGAATTATCATTATCCTGTAACCTTGTAGAACTTTTCAACCAGTACTTACACTTGAGGCATTTTGAGGACTAGTTAGTGCTGACTAGCTGTGCTACGGTCAAGGTCTTGAAGAGAAATGAACGACAATGTCGTCATTGCATCAATGTCCGCTTATACTGATGGTTGGGATGAGGATAGAATTAAACGCTTTTTTGCCCACTCTTCCTAACACCCTTTTCACTCGTGGAGCGGATACATATCTACCATAACGCAAATGTCAGCTCCTATCTCGACAGAGCGGACAGAGGCGATCTGCTGGAAGTGAATCGTCTGTCCAAATCATCTATCATTCATAGCACTTCCTTGAGCTATAAATGCTCGCTCTACAGTGATGACCGGAGGAAACAATAGGGCGTTTGAGAAAGGTGGCCATAACTTTTCCGGAAATGCTATGAAATCCAGCTGGCGCGTGTGTTTAAGCCGATTGCTGGCTTCGGTAAACACTAGCTCCGTTCTCATGTGCGCTTTCAATGTGCACCTTAATCAATTCCAAGGTTAATATGGAGAAATATATTAACTTATAATAATTAGGGATAGATATGCTCAAAATAAAAGAGGTGAATAGATTGAGCATTTTACAGAGCTCAACTAAAATGTCCACTCCTGAACAGTTTATAGATCGGTGTTTTGAAGTCTGTTTCTAATGAGGTTTGCTTTCAGTCAAACATTAAGACTTTTGTTACATTTAAGGATTTCCCCTTCCTCTTGAGGATCAGAAATATACCTGCTCAATACCATTCATCAAAGCTTTATTTTTCCAGTCGACTCGGAAATTTTGAAAAATTCAAACTGAATGAATGATTCAAGGCCGATTCTTTTATAGCTAGAGATATGAGAAGGTTCCGAAAGTTCAAAAGAAAGCCTCCTGTCGCTGCTTTTTGGAATTTTAATTTTTATTCATCGGCCAAGTCGAGAAACCATGTGCTATAAGGTTGTCTTGGGCAGAATGCGACCCCAGTACATACCTCCATGATACCATTTCCATTCTTCTACACCTTTCAAGTCTGATTTCTGATATTTGAACTTTCTATGTATTTTTGAAGTTAACATGGGAGTTTGTCCCCATTATTCTCCATTTTATCATTGATTTTTGATTGATCGATAACTAATTGATGAGGTAGGCTGTACATAGGAAGAAGCACGTTAAGCACCCCAACAAATGAATTTCTGTGTTACAAAAAACGCTGTGCCTTTTGAAAGGGATAGCGATGGGTTGATTGTGTCAGGAACTTTTTTCATAACCATCTACAAAGCTTTCTTTCTACTTATTACTAGTTTGCACTCACTTCTAACTGTCTCAAAAAAGGCAGCTCGAGATCACGTAAGGAAAAATTACAATGGAAACAACAACCCTAACTTTGTTGAACCTTCACAGAGCCTCTTTTATTCATAAGGACATGAGGGCTTCCTTCATGTGTTTGGGATCTTTTTCAACCAGATTTGCTACCGGGTCGAAATCCGGTTTTGACGTTCACGTAACAAATGTTTTCTCAAGTGTTCCGTTTAGTGAGCTGGGGCTTGAATCAGTGCTTATTCTTTCTAAACATCACATCTGTCCATTGAACTGTGGAGGTTGTGCAGATAATGAAACGCCCAAGCTTCTTCATTGCCCCGACTGCTCTTCGTTGCTTTTCACTTCCAGTGCTTCCAGGGCCCCAAAAGGTTAGAATCCGCCGAGCATGTAGACTACATTGGAGATGCAATTTTTCTGGTAGCATACCTTCAGTGAGGTTTCAACGCCCATGCGCTCAATGTCATGGCACTAACAAAGCCCAAGTTCAAGAGCAAATGTGGTTTTATGGTCATGAAGTGAAGAAAAGGCATCGGCCTGGCCCAAGGGTAACAAAAGGGATTTAGTTGTCAGAAGTAGGAACTGTTTAGAGAGGAAAAGCTTCGGAAAGTGAAAACGACTTTCCCCAGGACCCTTCCGAGAAGCGAAGTGAAGGGCGATTCGAGTCGTAGCTGGAGTTTCCCCATTGCTCACGGAAACGAGATGCGAACCCATCACGAGATTTGTGTTTTTCAAGAAATCTTAGGATGCTTCACGTATTTGTGCTTCCCAGTTTGTTTGTCAACGTTTTGCCCATAACTCGCCAATCCCTCGAGACTTTCCGATCGGGTACTGCTGGGAAATAAAAACAGTAAACATAACCTCAAGTCAAGATACCTATTGGTTTTGGGAATTAACGCTGTTTGCTTATAGGGTAAGCGGTTCATTTGAAAAAGTTTCAAAAAATATAAGAAATTCTATTTGTGACTCAATGTTGATTTTAGTTATCGAATACTAGTTGTTCTTTGGAATGTACACGATGCGACCTATACACCCCTCCAAATCTACCGTAAGTTTCTATTTGACTAACATTTCTTCGTGTTCAAGTGGTAAAAAAGACTGTGAAAAGTGTTGAAAAGCACTGTCTCGATTGTTCACTTTTTTGTGGCGCTGCACAGCTTGCACCTGTTCGGATAAAAGTGCAGAGGCCCATTGAAAAAACACTTCGGCGATGCGCACGCGATGCGTGCTCGGTGACGTCACAGAGGCCATACTGCGTAAGGGAGTGGGAAGAGGGACTTGGGAGTTGCTTATTGTTATGGCACATTTATATTAGTGTTTTGGATTACTTGTACCCATTGGTCGTAAAGAGATAACAATAGAAGTCACACACGACTGAGCCAGTCGGTGCTGTTTTGACTTTTCTCTTGAACAAGGCCTGCAAACACACAAAAATTGTTAGAAAACAATTTTGATTTTGAAATTTCCTGGCTTTTACGTGGGTTGCGAAGGAAGGCTGTCGGTGAGAAACATCATTGGGACCGTTACCCATGTAGATTTGACCGTTCCCCTGGGGTTCGTAAACTCGTCAACTATAGTTTGTTTTTTATCCACGAAAGAGCAGCCCTCCATAGTCTGCCATCACCCGAACCCTCATGGAGCCTCCCGAATCTAAAGGTAGAATTGGAAACTCTCCATT